TGAAGCAACAGTACTGACAAAAGAAATCCCTTAACCTAACCAAGTGGGTAGACTAAGACTTGGCCAACATAAGTACCCACTGGCCACATGTGACAGGTGAGCACTTGAAATGTGGCTAGAACTGCACCATGCTGTAAGTATAAAATACACCCCAACTTCAAAGATTTAGTGGAAATGAAAAAGTAACATATCTCATTAATAATTTTTATGTTAAATGTTTAAATTATAATATTTTAGATGTATTGGGTTATACTAAACATTAAAAATAATTTCAGCTGTTTTTACTTTTTTAAATACAGCTACTAGAAATTTTTAAATTACTCAGTGGCTCGCCCAATATTTCTGTTGGACAACAATACACTAGATGTATACCAGGGTGATTAATGGTATAACAGCATAGAGTTCATTTCATGATCATGGGCTCATTCACTAAGGTATGAGAGTCCAACATTGTTATTTCTAAGACTGTGTCAGTTCTGCCAATTTTTTCTTAACATTTTTTTCTCATACTTGCTTCTTTCTCTTCCTATTCCTTAGTCTTAGTCCTCTACAACTTTATACAAGGCCCAGTAAAACATGTTTATTGATCTCATTTCCATTCCTATAATCTATTCATTGCTTCCCCACCAGACTAACTTTTAGGAAACCCTTGTATACATTTTTTCCCCATGCTCAAATCCAGTGACTACAGTCTGGGAAGTTTGTACATTTCGGCTTACCTAGAGATTCTGAATCAGTAGGTTGAGGGTGGGATCAAAACTTGCATTTTAATGGATACTGCAGGCTGGTCTTATGCAGAGGTCTGAGGCTCACTGGCCTATGAGTGAGCTCAGATCCCTCAAAGTAATTTTCAAGGCTCTTCTTAGCTTCATAAGCTGGCAGTCTAAGCTGTCTAAGAGAGAATGAGAAGGAAATACCTGGAGAACCTTTGGAAGAAAATGGGACTCTGTCCTAAGCAGCTTTGATACTTGCCTAATTGAAGGTAGGGAGTTGGCCCTAAAGATGTCTCCAGCTCTGCTCTTCTATGACCTTAAACTTCCCATTATGTCTATCTACATCCTCAAAGTAATTTTTCCAAGCTTCTGCCTGAAATTGAGGATGTCGTCCTGTTCAGTCTGCATTTTCTAGTGCTGATATCATAATATGACTCTATATAGACCAAGATAGTTTTGACATATGCCCTTTTTCATAAATTCTTTTCTTTCATTTTCCCTTGATTAACTGTAGTAACCTTTAGGAATGCTAATGTCAGGACTTAATCAAATAAACTCTCCTTCTAATAGATAAAGATTATGAAGGTCATAGCTGGCTCACAGAATCATTCTGATTTTTCTACATGGTTACCGTTATGGGCTGTGTGCCCCCACACAAAGTCATATGTTGAAGCCCTAACACTGATTTGACTGTTTTTGGAGACAGGCCTTTAGAGGAGGTAATTAAGGTAAAATGAAGTTATAATGGTGGGGCTCTAATCCCATAGGTCTAGTGTCCTTATAAGAAGAGGATGAGACAACAGAGATGAATCAGTCCTTGCATGCACACAGAGGAAAGGCCATTGTGAGGACACAGCAAGAAGGTGTCTACATGAAAGCCAGGAAGAAAGGGCTCACCAGAAATCAATATGCCAGCACTTTGATCTTGGACTTCCAGCCTCTAGAACTGTGAGAAAATAAATGTCTGTTGTTTAAGCCACCCAGTCTGTGGTGTTTTGTTAGGGCAGACTTAGCAGACTAACGTGATTGCCAATATTTAAAATTTGAGAGCTTGCCTATAAAAATCTAAATTTCTATTGAAAAGTTATAAGATCTGGCAACAACTTTCTAGAGATGAGTAATAATTTGTCTGCACTCTTCAGTTCTCCACAGTCTTTGCCATTCTCTTTTGTCTCTCAGATGTGAAGGTTAAAGGTCAATTGGCAATTGTACCAGCATTATTATTATTTTGAAATCTAGTTCTTTTCACTCATTTACATTACTTGCCTGACCCTTGTAGACATTTAGGTTTATAATTGTTAATGTAACTACTGACAAAGGTCAGTTTTCTTTCCAATAATGAGACAGGATATGCATTTAACTATCTGCACTCTTTTGTCTGAATTCCCTTTGTGATATATAGTCTTCTTTTATGAGCAAATCAACCAGCCATAGATTCTTCAAGCCTACATGAACCATACTGATATACACTAATATACCTTTCAATCACGAAAATAAATTAGAACATAAATCTAAACTGCAATGACAAATCCTAACTCTGAACATCATGGGCCAATTATGTAATTTGGAAAGGATGTCTTCTATCAACTAATAAATCAGGGTGGCATGAACAGGCAAAAGAAAAGCTCCCTTTTGTCTTGACAGATGTAAATAAAGAATATATTACTTTTACTTCAAAATTTGAAAATAATGAATTGGGAGTATAAGGATTCCATCTGTTACATGACTTGAAGTCAGCCATGGCAGTTGTGTATCAGAAACATATTGAAATATTAACTGTACATCTTGCATTTATAGAAATTAAAGCATAAAACATTTTAAGAGCCAGAAGAGATAATAACCATTTGTCAGAGAATAGGGCCAAAAGCTGGAGACAGAAATTAGAGTGGAGAAAAAAAGGAAATTAATTGTTGCAGTGAGGGATAATCAATGTAACAATTAGAACATAAAGGAATAGCACAAAGAAGAAAAATATGATGCTTTAAAGGAGAATAGAAGTCTATGAACCTGTACTGTATTTACTTATTGGTTGGCACATTTTGGTTGGGAGTATGTTTCTCTTAGATTAATTCAGGCAAAAAATATAGACAGTGAATCACAATATTGTTTGTCTTAGGCACCTATAACAGAATAAACAAATGAATGGGTCAAAATCAGTCTTTTTCCCCCAAAACAATAATGTTGTATGAAGCAATCTATCAACAATCTTTTGAGTTATTTCATTTTTCTCTTTTATATGCTCTTGGAATAGAAATCAGCTGCTTAACTGATAAAAACCAAATAAGGAAGTACTCAGAATTTATATATGTGACAGTTCAGTATGTTTCAATTATACTGTACTATTATTCATTGTAGTTCAAAGCTATTACAAGTGTACATTTTATAGATTAAAAATATTTTATCATGTTAGATCTTGAAGCTACAATTTTTTTTTTGGTTAAAAAAACTCATTTATGTGTGGGTTCAGTATCCCGTATGTAAATTGAAGATCTCTCTTTTAAAGTTAGTATTAGGAAGAATGTCTGCCTTAGAAGTTTTCAAATAATGAAAAAGTAAAATTCATTAAGAGTATTTTTATTTCTTTTAAAGATTTTAATTAAAATATAGCTAACATAAAATATTATATTAGTTTCAGGCATACACCATAGTTTCAACATTTATATACCTAAAGAAGCGATCACCATGGTAAGTCCAGCAACCATTTGACACCATACTATGCTATCACAATATTATTGACTATTCACCATGCTGTATGTAACATTCCCATGGCTTATTTGTTTTATACCTGGAAATTTGGACCTCTTATTCCCCTTTACTTTTTCTGCCTTTTAAAAAATCCTCAATTACAATTGACACTCAATATTATTTTATATTAATTTCAGGTGTACAGCATAGTGGTTAGACAGTTACATAATTTAAGTGATTCCTGACTCATCTAGTACCCACCTGGCACTATACATACTTATTACCATATTATTAACTATATTCCCTGTATTTTACATCCCAATGACTAGTTTCTAACTACCAATTTGTACTTCTTAATCCCTTCACCTTTTCACCCTGCCCTCAAACCCCCTTCCATCTATCACCCTGATAAATTTAGTACCCATCTGAGACCACACATAGTTATCACAATATTATTGACTATATTCCTCATGCTGTACCCTACATTCCCATGACTGCTTTGTAACAACCAATTTGTACTTTTTAATTCCTTTCCATTTTTCACCCATTCCCAATCCCCCTCCCATCTGGCAACCATCAAAATGTTTTCTGTATCTATGAGTTTGTTTCTGTTTGTTTGTTTATTTTGTTCTTTAGATTCTACATATAAGCAAAATCACATTGCATCTGTCTTTCTCTGTCTGACATACTCCACTCAACACAATACCTTCCAGGTCCATCCATGCCGCAGCAGATGGCAAGAACCCATTCCCTTTCAGGGCCAAGCAATATTCCATCGTGTACATGAGGTGTGATCAAACAATACAGTGAATGTTTACATTAAAAAAAAATTTTTTTATTAGTTTCAGATGTACACCCCAAAAATTTATTATTGTAAAAGACACATTGCCATTAATCTCCTCAAAATATTCCCCCTCACTTCGAACACACTTATCCTATCATTCTTGCCACTTTCTGAAGCAGTTCTGGAAGTCCTCTTTCATAAGTGTCTTTAGTTGCGCTGTCTTGGCTGCCTTGATACACTGTAATGTTTTTATTTGACAGAAACTGCCATACCAGAAGCAATGTGTGACACGGAGCTTTTCATTGTGATCAAAAGATATGGAGAATGCTGCTGCTGAGTGCCATCTAATAGAAAGGCAGGGATCTTCAATATGGGAAGTGACGTGTTGAACCTTAGTAACAGTGACAAGTTTCAACTTGTTTGGTGCAGTCAGTTGGGTGTGAGCTATGGTTGAGAGAAGGTGTGTTTTAAAGTGTGACATAAATCATCTTCCATCATGAGAATGCTCCGTGTCACACATCACTTCTTTTATGGCAATTTCTGTCAAATAAAAACATTACGGTGTGTCCTCATCCACCTTATTCATTGGATCTGGCACCGTGCGACTTCTGGCCCTTCCCCAAAGTCAAAATGATTCAGGACATCGAGGCAGCCATGACAGCACAACTAAAGACACTCACGAAAGAAGACTTCCAGGACTGCTTCAGAAAGTAACAAGAACGATGGGATAAGTGTGTTCAAATTGAGAGGGAGTATTTTGAGGGGGATTAATGGCAATGTGTTTTTTACTGTAATACTTTTTTTTTAAATTTAAACATTCACCGTATTGTTTGATCACACCTTACACAGTGACTGCATTTAGCAGCATTATATAAACTGGTTCCCTTTCTACTCCATTTGCATTGAGAAAGACAATTCCACTTTCTACATGTATGCACAAGAGGAACCTAGGGTTTGAGGGGACATTTGAGGCATTGAGGCTCTTAAATAAGTGGGTTTCCTTATTGTTTTCACTGAATTATAGGAATGGACATAGCCTATTTAATGTTCAAGTCTTCCATGGAAAGAGATTAAACATGTTCAATTATTTCCACTGCAAAATTTTCTTTTATCTTTTTAACCTAATCCCATTAGGCAAAGGAAAAGAAAGTATTTACTCAGAACTCTTAGTTTGTCTGTTTGTCAACATTTAAGATTCTCATTTTCCTAAATGGAAATAAATTTTCCAAATATTTTGAATCATCATGTCTCAATTCCATACAAATAACTTAAAGATGCAGAGTGGTAACACCAAAATATATCAAAGTAACAAGATTTGCAATGCTATCCCCTAAGAAATCTAACCTTCCATTCACTTTCATAACCTAGCAAACTTTTAAAAAAGAAACAAGTTATTTTTAGCTCAAGTCATCCTGAGAGTAGCAAAAGAACATTGACTAGGAATGGCAGAATGATCATGGCAAGGATTTCTAAAAGGAAACCTTGCAAACGAAAGAGAGTGGAAGATCAAAGAATATCTATTTAAAATTCCTTCCACTTTACACTCCTTTCAAACTGAAACAGCCAGCTATCACAGCGAGTGTATCGGATTCCCAGGGTGTCCTGGGGAAGAATAAAACCTTAAAATGAACCCTGTCACTGAAAATTGATAAAGGATTAATGTTGCCAGCTTTGAATAGCAGAAAATCAATATAACACACAGAAAAATCTTACACAAAAACTAATGAAAAAAAGTGAGTGCTTTCACAGCATGCAGTAGCAAAGAAATGGTGCAATCATCCATACCTTTGTTCTCTGATAGCTATGGGTGCTTTCACTGCCTTTGACATTTTTCTAGTGAGATCAGAGTTTTCTGTTAGGCCATTTCAGAAAAAAAAAAAAAAGCCAAAAATTGACATTTAAATTCAGCTTCTCATTTGTTTACTCTAAAGGTACTACATTTCTGATGTTTAAGAATTAAAAAAATTTTTCTTAAGAAATACACAAGACAATTTCCATGGTAATTCCCTTTACCTGTTTCCAAAGGTTTAGTTTTTTAATTGGCACTGTTGCTTTTATTTTATTCATTTATTAATTATACAAATGGAAGCCCCACACTTTCTTCCATCAAGAACATTGTAAGGGAACAACTTTCTTTCTCCACCATTCACCCAGTTCTTTTGTGCCACTGCTGGTTTTGCCTATTGCATCCTTTCATTCCCAGGATCCACTAATTCCAAGAATATTTTAAAATCTTAAGATAATGGTGAAAGCTCCCTTTAGTAATAATAATAGAATAATAATACACTTAATCATTTTCTAATGGCTGTCAAAACCCATGATTTCTAGCAGCATTTTTAATGTGACTTTAACATTAGAAATGTTTACTGTTGAAAGTGACAGGATTTACACTATTATTTAAATTCAGTTTGTAACATTAATATCATTTCCTTGTCCCTAGTATTCCCTTGTATAACCTCCTTTAAAAAGCAGTGAAGATGAATTGATGTTTTACAGAACCTTAAAATTCTCAGAAATGCCTTATCTTTTTATTAGAGAATCTATCACTGGTGATTTCATCCTGTACAGGCTTTTCATTTCATACAAATTATTTACACTTAATTCAATTAAGTTTACTATCTTCTCCAAATTATGACAAACATACACAGAACTTAATATTTTTCCATAAAATCTCCTTGTCTGCGCTTTAAAGACTTAACGGAGATTGTGGGATTTACGGAGCTGATGCATACAAAACTATTTTCCAGGCTAGTATTAGATGCTTGGACAGTTAGTTCCCAAACATTTCAGCACACTGAGGTTACATATGTGGTTCTTTTAAGTGGCTTCTAATGTTTCTATAACCTGATAAAACGCTATTAATCCTTTGTAGTCACTTTTTAAAAAGTACTTTGTGTGCTGAAAACAAGTTCTGAAATTCAAAGCAATTTTATGTGCAGTAATATTATCCTGACATCAGCATAAGTTCGTTCTTTCAATAAAAGCATTGGTGAATCCTGAGAGGGAAATAAAACATATCATTTTTATGCTTGGTAAGTCCAAAAGTAAAAAACTCGCACATTGCTTATGTTTTTGTGATCTGCACGACCTGGTTCCGTGACAGTTATGCATTATCTTCTCAGAGGTTTGATAGTAATTAGGAGAAAGTGGGAATGACCTTGGGATGATCTCTCAGGTCCAGCTGCTTAACTCTAAATTCTAACAGTTTCTGAAATCAGCACATCTCCTCAGAACTCACCCGTGGGTTGCAAGTGATCAAACAGATGAAACCATAATGACAGGACCGTTAGATAGGTTTAACAGAAAGTGAATTCTAAAGACCTCCATTCAGCATGAAATTGCACACAAGGAAGGCCCTATCTTTTATTAAAATCATCACAGATACAAAAGCATCACTGAAATATACATAGATATACCATATATATTTATTCTCAACGTCCTGGAAAATTATTACAGATTTATTGGCTTTACGTTTCATTCCGTGGCATACTCCTAAAACATTAAATAGAACAAAAAGATCCATGCAATTTTTGGATGAACAGAATCCTTCTCATTTTTCATCTGTGTGCTTTCATTCAGACATTTGTCGGTAAAGGATTTGCTAGTAAATGTTTCTTAATTTTGGCTTCCTAGCCATGGGAGTGACATGTTCTGTGTCGTGTAAAATTTGGTAGCTTGTAATGTCTGTTCAAATTTCAAGTGTATCGTGCCTTTTCGGTAGCGAGAGCCAGCCTGCGGATGTTGGATATACAGCCAGCTGCAGCTTCCTGGAGATCCTGATCAGGGGACCCCACCATATCCAGCAGAAGCTGTCACACACAGAGGAGGAGGAGGGAAAGAAGAAGAAAACTGTTACTCTAAAGACATAAAGTTAAGCTATGAAAATAATTTTAGATATGACATATTTTTAAAAGTCACCAAAAAAAAAAAAGTGCAAGAAATTCCATTTGGGAAAATGCAAATACTCGTGTAAGTTGTGTTTAATCAGATGCAGGTATTTCTCATACACTTCCTATCTTTTTATTTTCTGGGGCTGAGCTAGACATGTTTCTTTCTTTGGTCATCTAACTGCTATGGATTCTGCTTTGAAATTCCTCTTTTACTCTTTCTGGCTTTTCCGCCTCCCAGGACAAGCCAACAGTGTACTACACCTAGACTAGGAGTGCATCCTCTTAGATTGAATCTCTCTGAATCCCAATCCAGCTGATCATGTCACAACCTAATTATATCAGCCCTTTAATAGACTCATTGAGTTCCAATGCTAAAATGACAGCCCAGGCTATTAACCTGTCCTTAAAGGATTTTTCTGGGCTCTAGCTTGTTGACCTTTCTAGCCATTTGTCTTTCTCCTGCTCCATCTCATACACCACGGTCACACTTCCCCACTTCTCTTGCCTTGACTGACACCACGCCTCTCCCTAAAATGCCCTTCCATCCCCTTCTTTGACTTTCTAAATTTTAACCATCTTTTGTGACCCAGCTAACTTTTCTGTAAAGGCTCCACTGACTTCCATCAAACAAAATCCCATTTCTCTCTCATCAGAACTCTCATAGCCATTTACTCAGATGTCTGTTGCTACACTTAAATTCTTCCTTTTTCAGATATATTTGGATTAATGCTTTCAGTCCTTTAGATTGTAAACTCTGAAACTTATAATACCATGTAGTGCCTAATACATAGTAGATGTCCAATAAATTCCAAAAAACTAAATTAGAACTTTAAAAATATATCAATTATGATTCCAATTAGTAGTTCTGATAAAAGTTTAAAAATTTAATTTGGATCATATATCATCTATATACAGAAGGTGCTAAAAATGTATACACATTTTAAGAAAGGATAAAACTGTATTAAAATTGTAATATTCAATATATACTGATAACAAAAGATGAATACAAGTCATATATATATATATATACATTTTTTGGCAACCCTGGTATTTTAGAAAAAAATGTGGATAATGTCAGAAAATGAGGATGACTTAATATGCAAAGAAATACTAAAAGGGAAACACTGTAAAACAGCTTAAATATATCAGGATTAGGAGTTTGGCTTTTATTGTGTAGGTAATAGAGAAGTTATTTAAGCACTTTAATCAGGAGGGTGACATGATCATATTTGTATTTTAGAAAGATAACTTTTATGGCAACTTATAGAATATGGACTGTGGGGAGAAGAGACTGAGGGTGCTGCAATACTTCAGGCCATAGGTGAGAAGAACTGAATAAAGCAGGAACCAGGAATAGCGTGGAAGGAATGGATTCAAAGAATATTTAGAGACTAAACTATTCAACAAATGGCTCGAGGACAGCTGGTTACCCACATAGAAGAAAATAAAAATGGTAATCTCATCCATAAACACCAATTCCAGGTAGATCAATGATTTAAATGAGAAAGGAAAATATAAAACATTTAGAATGTTGTATATGAGAAAACCTTGATCAAATTGGGGTGTGGAAGGACGTCTGGACTCAGTTCCTTGACCTCCTCATGGCCAATGTCTTCACCTCACTTTGGTTCCTCACTTCCAGGGTCATACCGTGGTCCTTACTTTTTATTCCTCTCTTCGGTCCAACCTCCAAACACTCTAGCCACAGTTTCTTCTGTGATTTGGCCATTGAACTTACTTGTTCTCATCATGACCTCTAGTCCATTGCCTATAGAATTTTTCTTTAACCATCTCCAGTCTTCACTTCTTCCATAACCAGTTTAGAGTCCACAGTATGTCTTTTTAATCATTCTTTTTCAGTTTCTTAAACCTCCTGTGACTTCTACCCACTAAAACCAGAACCAATTCTGTTCTCCCCATGCCCTCACCAATAACTGAACCCCCTGGAGGCAATATGTATACAAAAAGGCAAATGAATCCACTAGTGATCCAACCTCAACTGATTCTCATCACTATGCAGCAATCTAAATATGTGTGTCTCTAATTAGGTCACTTTCTTACTCTTTTCAGTGCCTATTTCAAATCTTCTACATTCTTTTTAATCTCAAACTCTTCCTTACAGCCCCCATTCTCAGCAGATAACCTTAAGTGCTCATTACAAACTTGCAAGAAGCCTTTAGACAGGAACTATTCTTACCAAACCTACCTATACCTTAGCACGAATTTTTCTCTTTCCTTCCAGTTATAATGATATCTCTCTCCTTCTATCCAAGGTCTACTACTCCACTTGTATTCGCCCCCCACTCTCCTTCTCCTTAGGACATTTTACCACTATATACTCTCTCTCTTCCTACTTTATCTTTAATCTCTCCCTTCTACTGATTCCTTTCAATCATCATTTAAAAGCACATCTTCATATCTTAAAAAACCATTCCACCCCCACCAAAACAAAACAAAACGAAACAAAACAAAAACCCCATCACGTTGGCTCATTTTCTTCCCTTCGTAGTCACATTTCTTTAAAGAGTTGTCTGGACTTACTGTCTTCATTCTTAAATTCCATTCAGGTCACTCCAGATTGGCTTCTGCCTTCAGCTTCCCACTGAAACAGCCCTCTTGAAGGTCACCAATAACTTCCATGTTGCAAAGAACAATAGACACTTTCGAGTCTTTCTCTTATTTGGCCCCTTAACAGCATTTGACATAATTCACTACTTTCTCCTTTCTGAAATTGTCTGTGCTTCTTAAACTATACCCTCCTGGTATTCCCCATATCCATGTCCTCATCTGCCCACAATTCATTGATGGCTTTCTCCTCCCCACCATAAATTGTTAGCATTCCTTAGAACAAATTTCTTTTCTGTCTTCATTCTGTTCTCTCTTTCTAGATCATTTATTTCACTACCTGACTTCAAGTATCATTCAGGTGGAACCATCTTCTGAATTTGTATCTCCACCTCAGAACAGCATAGGGAATATAGGGAAGAGAGACAATGGAATTGTAACAGTAATATACAATGTCAGAGGGGTAGTAGATTGGGGGAGGGGGAGGTTATCACTTTGTGAGGTGTGTAAATATCTATTACATTGTTTTGCACATCTGAAACTTAAAAGAAGAGAACCTTATTTTCAATGGAGCACTTCAGAGCCAGTGCTTCTTAGACATCTCCACTTGGAAGTTTCATAGCTATCTCAATCTTAATATTTTACAAATGAAATTTTAAATGTTTCCTCTATAAACCTGATCCCTCAGTATTCTCCCATATCAGTAATAGATACAGTCGCTTAGTTGCTTAAGCCAGAAATCTCCCTTCCTCACACTCACTCCCACCCTCAGCTCCCCTGCACTCCATCCAAAGGATTATCATATTCTTGTGATTCAACGACGTACACTTATCAAAGTCATTCACTTCCCTCTATTGCCACTGTCATGTACGACCCCTTTAAAGCCTACAACAGCTTCCCACTGTCCTGTACCCTCTCTTGCCCCCCTGTAATGAATCATTCATACTGCATCCAGAGTAATTTCCTAAGTTGTGAAGTTCATCAACTAGGGGAAAATTCCGGAGAAAGAAAAGGGAATGAGATAATCAGTCTTCTGAGGTTCAAGAAAAATAAATATCCTCTTCTAAGTAAGGGAAACAGGGCCATTTGGGGGAGCTCATGCCTTGTGAGTTTTGCATCGTTAATATAATTAAACAAGGAGGCCATTAGATGAGGTGGCTCTAATGCCTTGGTAGGCTATGTAAGCAAACCAAAATCTAAACTAGAGCCAATGCATGTGAATCGGAGAAAAGAAACCTAAGGACAACCAATCACCAACAGCCAACGAGGCTTTCCCAAATAGGGCAGCCACTTAAGCTACAGCCAATCACATACTTTCCATGCTGTGCTTCTGGGTCTTCTCTATAAAAACCTTCCCTCCTGTGGGTGGAAGACTTTAAAGAAGTTTAACAGTGCATGATTTTGCTCTCTATTTTCAAGACAGAGTGAAACAGGATTAAAATTACTTTTAATTGCTACTTGGTTGCCAGGCTTTTGTGTCTCTGACTGCATTTCCATGTCATAACTGGACCCTGATGTAGCTTTTCATACAGGTTATACATTTGAGTCACATAAATCCAGTACTCAGTACAAAGTAAGTGCTCCATAAATCGTGTTCATTACCATGGTGATTATTTTGCCAGTTCTGAAGTCTGGTTCTGGCATTTATTCCCTGGAGCCCAGCCCTGGTTTGGGAAGAACGAGGAAGTAGAAGTTTTGGCCGGGAGGTCAGTCAGGCTAGACTTTGTGAGCTCTTGCTCCAGACCCCAACTCCTCTCCGGTTGGCCCCTATGGGAACCAATAACCCAGGCATCACTTGGCATCAGCTGTTGCCACTGACGCCTTGCATGACTTCCTTGCAAAGCAGTTCCTTGGTTTGATGTCTGCCAAAACCGAACCTGCATTTTGCCCATACTCCCTCAGACCTGGTTGTTGTTCTGTGGTCCCCTGTTTGGCTCTCCAAGAGTCAGTTGCATTTATTCCCAAACCCTTGATGCCAGTTACATAATTTCATGCTACATAAACGTGAAGTTTGACATGCTGTTGGCATCTCGATGTTTCACAGGGAGCCTGTGCACACTGGATAAGCTAGATCAAGGTTGCTGACGGGAGCATCTACTGTGCATTTATATGCTTGATGTTGGAACACAATGTTTAACCCATGCAAGACCCTTTTTATGACTCTACTCTGTAAATCGTTTTTTCTATCCCCTAACTTCTAGTCCTGAATGCCTTAAAAGGACTACTACTACTCTTTGGAAAATTAATTTTGCCTAAGTTTCTTGCATTAACCACAAGACTTCATTCTATGTCCCATATGGTGGTTTGTGAGTGTTTATAGCCTAAAAGCTTGACCAGTGGAGCCCAGCAGTCCA